GGGTGCCCGAGCGGACGGGGCAGGGGGTGGGGGGCGAGGGGGTGGCCCTGTGCTGCTGGGTTTCTGTAGTAGCCGGTTCTAGAAAGATCTGCACTGAGAGGAAGGTAATTGCATCATTGAAACACCGGGGTTTTTTTGTGTGCTGGGGAGGGGTCTGGACGAGCTGTCCTTACAAACTGGAGCGCAGTTAATCGAGGAATTATACTTACGTGCCATGTTTAAGGCTGTAACATGAAAATAATTAAGAATGTTAGAAAAGTGTTGTTTGCCTCAGGCTTAAGTGGTGGCTTTTTCACCACCAAGTAGCAGAGCCCATCTAAAAATCAAATATAAAAGCAGTTATTGCAGTGACAGCTGCCTCTTCTAACTTCTGTTTCTTTAAGCAGAACCTCTCTCAAGATTACACTGTTCAAAAGTGGAAAGCGCCCGTTCTACAATGATGAATGCTGACATGGATGGTATAAGTTCTTCATGTTGTTTTTCTTTGTTGTTATTTTTTCTAAGGTACAGGTATTGCATTAAAGCTCGTATGATTTATTGCAGCTGTTGAAGCTGAGAATCAGGTGGAGTTAGAGGAGAAAACACGGCTTATTAATCAAGTTTTGGAACTTCAGCACACACTCGAAGGTTAGCAGCTTGGCACATTAGGTTTTTTTATAAGGATAGCATTAAACAAAAGAGAACCTCACTGTTCTGCCCTACCTTACTCTGAAAGTGCTGCTGTCCAGAAGAAACGTCGCTTACGCAGTTGAAGTTATATAAACAAGATCTCAGCAGAGCCTTCAGTGATACCAAGCAGGTTTTCTTTCTGCCATTATGCAATATAGTGCTTGCTTAACTCTCCTAACACACAAGAGGCAGAAGGGGCAATATTGGGGTGACAGGTTATCTTCCCAGGGTTATTAGTCAACCTACATCTTTGAGCCTGTTCATAATTGAAACTTTGTTTCCAACAGTTTAGTTTGCAATAGCTTACTTCAAAAACAGTCCAGAAAAGAATCAAGGTACAGAGTAACAACTGGCTTGTGTAACAAATTTGTCATAAAATACTGTGCTACAATAATTTAAGGAAAAAGGTCACAGAATCACAGAACGGTTGAGGTTGGAAGGGACCTCCGGACATCATCTAGTCCACCACCCCTACTCAAGCAGGGTCACCTACAGCGCGTTGCCCAGGATTGTGTCCAGATGGCTTTTGAACATCTCCAAGGAAGGAGACTCCTTTAGGTGAAACTTGGGAGTAGCACAGTGTTTTAAAAGCTAACACCATACAGCCATGTTTCCCATGTTAAAAATGTGTATAGACCGATATAGGCACACAGAATATATTCTTTACTGCATGCAATAACATCTAACGTTTCTTATGATTAATATCACTTTCACAGATCTGTCAGCACGAGTAGACGCTGTCAAAGAAGAAAACTTGAAACTGAAATCAGAAAACCAAGTTCTTGGACAGTATATAGAAAATCTGATGTCAGCATCTAGCGTTTTCCAAACAACTGACACAAAAAGCAAAAGGAAGTAAGGGTTGATTCACAGACAATGTCATTGTACTGCTGCTGTCTTTTTTGTTTTAATTGGCATAGGCTACATGAGCTAAATAACTTAGTTTGTGGCTTTACTGGATACCTGAAGATTGTAAGCTTCAGTGATAAACAGAATTAAGAGCATTATCATGAACAGGAGACAAGTTTGTGTATTGTTAAGATTACGCAATGTGCAAGTGTAGTGTAGAAACTAACTAGATTTTAATATTTATGTTTTAAAAATGAACATATCTCGTTAAACTGGAGTCAGTTTTTCAGGTTAAACAAACGTGTCTGTTGGCTACCTTTGACAAGGTTTTAGGGTAGTGTTCTTGACTAGCAAAATCATACAATTATAAAATGGAAGTGTTAAACTTCAAATATTTATGTCAAATAAGGTTTCAATTGCCTCACCTTTTTCACCTCAAATATACTTAGATCGCTATATAGTACTATCCATAATCTCTGCCAAGCAACTTTAAACAAAAACCTGTAAACTAGTTGGTTGTTTCTGTGACGTAAAACAGTATAACATTTTCTGCAGGGCTTGCAGATGTGATTATTTTTCTTTTGATACAGAAAAAGAATTAAGATTTTTGGGAGGGGGAGGGTAAGGGAAAGGGGAGCATGGATAAGCTAACTCACATCAGGGAAATACTGAACTGATGCAATATCAGACTGTTTGTAATTTGTAAGATGCACACTTCAAACCATTTTCACTCCCCTAGTTCCTCAAAGAACGATCAGGCACTGCATCATAATGCCTAATCTTCCAGGAGGTTTTCAGTTGTGTAATTAAGCGTTACAAAAATGATGAATAATAAGCTTGACAGAAACAGAAAGCCAACGATGTTCCTCTTGCTCCTTCTGAAAAATCTGCAGTGGAGGAGTTGAGGAAAAAAAAAAAAAAAATCTTTCCTTGCCACCTTTTACCTTCCTCCTGAAGCGCCAAACCTGTCTTAGCGTCAGGCCTTAGAGGAACTGTTCCTGCCACAAAGCCTAAGCTTGTAAAGTACCTCTTGAGGCATAACACAAAACCATCTAAGGTAGAAGAGGCGACAGTAGTGGAGGTGGCTCTGCCTCTCAAACTGAGCTGCTCCAGGCGGTGCCTAATGTCAAGGTGTCCTGCCTTATGCTGGCTGGGCTGTCTTTTATTAGGCTTTGTAGGGGCGCTCAGCCCTCATGGTCCTCAGCACTTCCCAGAGAGAGGACACATCTAGCAAAACCAGTAGTAATAAAAAAAGCAGAAGCTGAAATACAAACAACAATGTAAGTTTTATCATTATTAAAAGTTGCATCTGGTTCATCTTGCCAATAGCAGCTTACCAGACTTGCTTACGGATGTTACCCAAAACTTATGTCTGGCTCTTAGGTAATGAAGCCATTTTACTTTAACAAAAGGAATCATTAGTTCAAGGTTCTCTTTCATCTTTGCTATGACAGATTCTGAAAAATAAAGCTGCAGGAATTGCATGAGCAAGCGGACGTAATGGTAGAATAAACCCAGCTCAAAAAAACGCAAGTTTCTCAGCAGCTAAGCACTGCTCTTTCTCAATTGCAAGCAGACCTTGTGAGGTTCCCTTCCCCTGAGAGAGGTCTCCCAATTTATCTTCATTTAAAATGGCTGTATAGCACTTACTTATTATTGGAGTGTCAGCCCAAATGACTGCAGATAAAGTCCTAATTATGTCCTAAGGGTTGGTTAAAAGTTTGAGTCAAGAAACCTAATTATGACAATTTTTGGGGTAGTGGTGGGAATTCTGCCTACCAAGGCACAAATGGCTGATCCCATCTATGTGATGGGGGGGGGTCCTATAAACATCTAAAATTATTTTAATCATCTATGGACTGTTCTCTTTCCTTTTACTGCCTATTTAGAGCTCTGACTACATCCAAGAACTGCTAGGAGGTAGAATTAATCACCTGGCTAGTACCTACTTGATGTCTTAACGGTTTGAGGATTAAAACAAACAAACAAAAACCCACAAATGAGCACTTCTAAAAAATTACATTTCATTATAGCCATCCTAGTGTAAAAGCCATGTCACTAAACATTTTCCTCTGCACTGTAAGAGATACCTACCAATGTCAAGTGGTAACAGAGCATGCACTTGTTAAACTTCAGCAAGCCTCCTGAGACCAAGTAATCTTAAAATCATGGTTTTGTATTGTAATACTGGATAGTGATATTTTACCCATCTATGTATATAGCAGTCATTTAATGTATAAACATTTAACAGCCCACTATTGTGGCCTTCATTTAACTTATGACCATTTAAAAGATGTTGTATTTCTGACTTTACACTAAATAAAAGCTTTTGATTTGTCTGAATTGGTTTAACACTTGTAAATCCCAAAAGTGTTCATAGGTATCTATAATCAAAAGGTAGAAAAGTAAGTGTGTTGCTTAATTGTTTTCTGCATAGATGAAGTCTGAAAGTTCAGATGTGATTAGCAAATTTTGGGATTCAGATTAATTACTGATGTGGTATTTTCACCCATGTATCTTACATTTCCATAGGCTTGTCTGTAAAAGGGGGATAGGGAGTGACAGTAAAGGCCTGATAGATTGCATCCAGTGTCCTCAGAGCTAAAACTTGTGCTGGTTCCTGTCGTCAACTGTAAGAGAAATGCATAAGCAATTTTATTTTTTCCTAAACAGGTAACTAGCTCAATACTGGGCAGAAACCAGACTTATTAGCTTCTACCTTCACCAAGGTGTGATGAAGTAACTGAGGAGGAACAGGTTGTGAGAAACCAAGAGAGCATACTGCTATCTTAAGAAAAGGTTCACTTTTGTAAAGTGAAGAAGCAGCATCTGTTTCCTCTAAAAGCCTTCAGTCCTACTTAGCCTCCTCTGAACACAGAAAATTCTCACTCTGGGACTTGGCTTTGTCAGTGAGATGGCCTTACTCAGCCATGACACAGCCAGGGGGAACACAGGCTGCAAAGCTCCGATACTCGAGCCATTCCAGGTAGACCGCCAGCAATTGTAATAGCAAAGCATGCTGGGACTGGATTATCATTAGTCTGTTAATTTCAAAGCACTTGCAAGCAGCCATGAAACCAAGATTAGGTATTTTTCTAAAAATACATGTTGTTTTAAGTCCACTAGATGCAGGAACTGCAGGGTGAAATCTCAGTGATAAAAATATCAGTGTCAGGGTTCCCCTTTTGCCTGGCTTCCTGAATCTAGAGCCTCAAATCCCATAGTTAGTCCTGGCATTTCTCCCCTAGTTACTAGCATAAGATGAGATCTACATCAGCTGGTGCAGAAGTCTTCTATCTGTCTTCTGTCTCCAAGTTCCAGGTAATTGAAATGATTAAGCCAGTTTTAAAGTGAGAAAGGCATTTACAAAGTCAGTATTACTGCAAACAGCAAGGGAGTGGTGTAGCAATGCTACTTAAGATGATCGTACCCATAATAAATGGCTCCTTATTTACTGAAATGACACAGAGGCAAAGATGTTGATGGGGTATATTAATCAAGACTTTATGGCAACCCTAGGATCAAAAGTGTTCAGGGAAGACAAGGGCCCCCCTATACGAAGACCAATATATATATCACAGCCAAGAAATGACCACATACTGATGCAAAAAACAAATGCTGTTAACTGCTCCAAAGGATTTTTGTTTTTAAATCAGCCCTAGATAGGATTACTGCAAAATGAGTCCTGAAATGCTGTCACCTCACAGTAATCAGCAGTTCCATCCTTAGACCTACTGCTCAGTTCCCCTTAGTCACTAGCGGTATCCTTCACTGCTGACAGTTTCTATCTGTGGTTAAAAAGTCACAGGCAGAAAGGGGAACCTGGAGTCATCATTTGTTACCTATTGCATACAGAATAAAGAAAACGGAAATACTGCATTTAACGTTTCTTACCAGAGACTTTTCTGTCTGTTTCTCCACAGAAAATAGAGTCCAATATTCCTAACTTTCAAACACTTCAACACAAGTACTTGAAGACAATGGCTTCTTCATTAGGGATAATTAAGACATACTCATTTGTTACAGACTTACATAGGAATGACAGAGCAAACAAAACTCCAGAATCTTTGCTGACTTAATTTGCTGCAAAGGTATTTCTTTTATTACAGTGAACTAACTTCTTGCCAGGCATGAGGGACATCTGTTAGGATCTTTATGTATTAATGTATTTCTAATTTTTCTTAGCATATGACTCTCTTTGCTGACAGTTTGTACTCTAATATATTATAGACAGCCATAAAGCAGTAAGAGGTTTCCAGTGATATTCCAGTTTATTGTTTTGTTACATGTACAGCTGAACTTTAAACAAAACAAATTTTGTCTTACAGTAGGCAGTTTATTGAAACTATATTATGAGAACAGCCATTACTTATGCCTGTAAAAATCTTAATCCATCAAAAATTATCTGTATTAATAAATTTAATGTTAAGCAAGAATTACGAAATATTTTTAAGAGATAATGTACACTTAGCAAGTATTCTATAAATAGGGGCTACGCCATTCTGGCTTGGAACATGAAAACTATAAAAAGTTTGAAAAGTCATCTGTGTATCGCTTTGCTTCTGTAAATTGAATATCTGCGTTCAAGAGTAAAACAAGTCACATCAGTTAACTACTTGTTCTACGAGTATTCTATTTTAAAGCACCTCTTAAAAATAAATTACTGTAATGAATAAAGTGAACAGGGAACTGCCAAAATAACAATATCAACTAAAATAAATAATTTACAGTAAAAAAAATGTTGCTAGCACTAAATCATACAAAAACAATGTTATTGCATTTAGCTCTGCACAGAAAAAATGCCTTTTCTCTCTGCAGTGTGAACTGCTATAGATGCTACATCTAGACTATTATGCCCTTTTAGCTGAAATGCGTAAACAGCTACTTTTGTGCTAGAGCTGAAAAATATTATAATTTATTCCTTTAATGTTTTCTAAAAATATTTATAGTCAAAATTTATCTCCAACTCCTACTAATTTCTAAGAATATTTATCTTAAAATCCAGTGGCCAACTTGCAGTTTCACTTTTATTCTAACCTCAAAACACTAGCTAACTCTTCACAGATATTTCTCCCTAAAAAAGGAAACTAAGGACAGTTTGGAAAGGTTAAAGAGGTTGGAGAATTAAAATAGGAGGTTACGTAGCAATGCGTCCCATTTTTTCTTTCAAATCTCTGGAACTTGCAATGCCGTCAGGCCTACTGAAGTGGCATACCCAAAGTTACTATTATCAAGGTCTAAAAATACTAGCCGGAAATAACTTAGTCCTTTCGTACTCTCCTTTTGCGTACTGATTTCAGGGGACCATCTCCAGAACCTGTGCCTTCATCAGCTTCTTTCATCTGAAATAAAGAAAAAAAAAGTATTTCAGCATTAACATTTTCAACATCAGTTTAAATTTATTTCTTGAAACTGGTATGTTACTTTCTTCCACCCTCTCCCCCCGCCATCATATTATCACTAAATATAACACTTCATTGACCGGAAATTTTTTCCGCAATATTATTCTGACAATAAATAAGGTGGGTAAAAGACTTTTCCTTTCTGTATTCAAAAGGAAGGGAATAGCACATCTAAACCAAAGTCAGAAATTAGTTTTTGTCCATTTACTCACTAATTAAAAGCAATGAATTTTTAAATGAATTCAGCAATTTCCCTAAAAAGGATCTTATGCCAATTTTAACATCCATTTCTCAAGTAAGAAGTATTTAAAACATTCAAACTGCATTCCTTGGAAAGGCTACAAATAGAATAGACTACTTTAAACCAGATGTCCATTTTTCTCAGGTTATGAAACATCTTTCCAACAGGAACTCTATTCTCAGAGAACACATTGCTTCCTCACTTTCCTGCATCACATCTCAGCAAGCATCTGGTTCAGAATGAACAATTCACAGAACGTGGCACTACTTCAGTGATGACATGGCATTGATGACATCTCCAAATGGTCACGAGATGGTTAGGTCGCGAGCTAACTAATAATAAAAACTTGTATAATCTGAAGATACCCAGACAAGACAGACATAACCTTCTTGCGACTGATACCGTGTAATGGAATAAACATGTTCCAATCTTGTATTACTTTTCCAAAAAAAAAAAAAACCCCACACATGCAGCTTAATGGGCTCATCAGATACTGTATTCATGGGTTAACTACAAGAAAACAAACGCTTCTTACAGGAACAAAAGACAACTTTTGTTGTCTCACTACAACAAGTAATCAGTAAGGGGTACTAAATGAAGAAATACAGCACTGAAACAATGCAGTTTCATGCAAAGTTCAGTTTTACACAGGATCTTTATATACATAGGAGTTAACAATTACATTAAACAGCTCCCCTCATCTGGGGAAAGAGCCTTTCAGACAGTGATGAGCACAACATGACTAACAAATACTGTGGGTGGATCTGAAGTATTTTAGACATAGGAAAGTTTCTAAATGGAAGTGCAGTGAATGGTCAACTATTAAGAGGAACAAACATATAAATTCCATTCTGGAATGTTATTTTCTGAAAAACATTTCAGAGACTGTCTGGTTATTGTATTAAATCTGCGCAAGAAAACAGAACCACAGATACTGAATTCAAAACAGATAGGGTCATTTTGCTTAAAACCTTATTTTGCAATTTAAAAGAAAAAACCTGAATGCCTGAGATTTTCCTAGTTCTCCCTGAAGGGCTACTAAGTAGCATAATAAAAAGAAAAGATTGGATACCTACTTCAACATTCAAAATTTTAAAACTTCTAATTAATTTCCTAACTTCTTTAAAACTACACTCCTGTAAGAACTATATTCTCATAAAAATGGTTCTTATTTAGAGACCTGCATGGTCCCTAGGCTATACCTCAATTTTACAATACCATCATAAAATTACATGAAAAGCAACATGTTTCACGCATCTATACAAATGGAGTGCCTGGGGTGTCAAATAGTAAAAGTTAAACTCAAATAAAAACACATCCCCATATCATGATTTATTTATGGTTCAACAGAAGAAAAACTCATAAGTAACTGTGCTTAGCTGGAAGTGTGATTTTGGACAAGGGTGAGAGGAACACAGCGAAAAAGAAAACCTCACCTCATCTTCCGAACCAGATTTATTTGATTTATCACCTTCTTCTTGGCTTCCATCTTCAACTTCATTTTCTTCCTCTTCATCAGTATCCTCACCACCTTCACCCTCACCTTCTGCAGCAGAAATTAATTTTACTTCATAAATAGAACTATATTAAGATGCATTGTATCTCCAGATACTAGTAAGCAAAAGAAGCTAATTTCAGTTTTAGAATGAACTGTTTTGTTAACAATAATCCATAAAAACGTCACTGAGATATTGAGAGTA